CTGCCGTTCGGGTGCGCCGCAGAGGGGGGTAAGAAGGGCCAAGCACATGTACTTACGGTTATAGGCATACATACATGCACACGTACATGTACATGCAGGTGTAAGGCACATATGCAGGTAGACATGCGTATACATACACAACGACAATTCTATGTATACATGCGTATACATAAGCATACACATAACATACGCATGTACATGTGTACTTACATATACAATAATATAAAGATATATGAATTTGTAAACCCATTTGCATACTTATACATATGTACATATACATACGCATAAAACAAACAAGCAATGTTACATTACTTATTTCCATCTACTAGGACAAATTATCAAACTCTACAGTAAGGACGGGCGGTAAGGACGCAAGGGCCTTGAACGCCGAAGTTGGCACTTTTCGGGCGGCGGATTGCCAACACCTTGAAGGGCTGGCCAATGAAAACAGCGAAGGACTGGCCACAGAGGCCAGGACGCAAGGGTACCCTGGGACATCCGCGCGTCCTTTCTCGGAGTGTTGATTGTAGGATGGCACTTCAGAGAAGCATTACCGCACAAGCCTATCTCCGAGGAGCCGTGCGTTACGACGAGTCTCGAAGATTGTACAAGGCTGGGCAAAGCCAGAGGCCCTTGCCCACAATTCGCACACCCCCGCGCTGGCACGAAAGGACATATATATATATAGATATATATATTATTCCTCAAGGCTCGGAGCACGCCCGCCACAAGCACATGACAAAACTGTGCATAACTGAAGCGGGGGCCGCGCGCAAAGGAAGCAAACGCGATTGGTCACCAGGAGGAGTGTCACCTCCTGGAGCACCCAATCGCTCGACTGGCGCTCAAGTGCATGGGTGCATGGGAATGGCCGGCGCGACGAGCGTCGCGCCGATGTGCGTTGTCTCACGAATCAAGCTCTGTACACTAAACAGACGAAAGTCGACTGCAAGAGGAAGGGGAGGAGCAAATGGTGTCCGAACACTTCGGACGCCTGCTATCATACAAATGCGCAAGCAGGCGGAGCGTAGACCGGAACTGTATTGTACAGACCTGGCAAACGCCATCGAGCAGGACAGATATGCGCTGACAGGCCTTTACACCGTGCTTCGTCCGCATGTGGGACTTCAGAGCCCGGGCTGCAGCGAGCGAGGATGGGCACTGAGGGCAGCGGTGGGCTGTAATAGGAGCTTCGCTTGAGGGAACGGCGGTTGCTCCCAGGTCGCATGCAGACTCTACAAACTGGACGCAATGGTGAGCCTGCGACCACGGGGCTGGCGTGCAGACGATGAATTGCAGCCAGGGCCCGAAGTCCTTGTCAGGATCTGCGAGTGCAGAACAAAAAGCGGCCATGCGCCAAACAGACTGTAGGCCCTTCGCAAGTTGTAGGTCCTTCACAAGGGGGGGACGGTCAGCGCGCCGAGCGAGGAGGGAGCGCAGCTCAGACGGGCCGCGCCGAACGACTCGACCGAGGCATGCCAGCCGCTTGCGCGTGAGGGGGCATCCCGCGGACGGAGCCTTCAGAACCCGACGCGCGTCAATGTCGGCCACGGCGGGGCCGAACTTGCCTTCGCCAGCGAGGCGACGGAGGCCCCGCGTGCACATGGCGCTCATAATGCGCAGGGCTGCAAGAGAGAACGCGCGCATGTGGGCGTTAAAGAACAGCCGGGAGAACACGGGCGACACCAAGAGGCTCCATCGATCAGCAAGTGGGCCAGCCTCGTTGCCGTAGACGCGCACTGCCAGCGGGCTGCAGGCCTCAGCGGCTGACGAGGCGCGAGCCAGGGCTTCGCGGACATTGTCGCCGCCAGCCTCCGCGACGCCGCCGAAGTGCTCGCGCCGGGGCACGACCGCCTCGTGGTCGGTGGAGCCAGGCGCCTTGACCTGCAGAGCGCCAGGGGGGCCAGCCCTCCTGGCAACGCAATGGGGGGCTGCATTGCGGCACCTGTAGGTGAGGCTGCACTCAGCTTTGGACGGCTTCCAATTGATCGCACAATATCACAGATCAAAGATGCCAGGCAAAGACTCGAGGAAGACGTCAATATGCTGAACCAAGCCAGCCGGGGTCTTGGCGCACAACAGCAGACACTCGTCATCAACGAAGGTCACGTCAATGACTGGCACCGCGGTGTCGGGCGAGGGCGGGGGGGCGAACCCCGCCCCTCCCGTTGCCAGCCAGGTCGCCGTCAGCGGGGCCACTCCCAGAGGAGGAGAAGTTCGGGCCAGGGTCGTGGATGCGCAGCTCCACGCAGGCCTCATTGAGATGAGAGCGTCTCTGAGGGGCAGCAGGCCGATCGAGCGCGCGCCATTGAAGATGGCGCCGCCGCATTTGCAGCCTTGCTTCCCGCCGCGGCGAACGCTGATCGCAGTGCCCAGGTCGCCGTAGCTGAGCCAACTCTTGGAGTGCAGATTCTTAGCGAGGCAGGTAATATTGTCAGGGACGCCCCGCTGCTGCATGAGAGGCCCGTGGACTGCGATGAATCCGACGGCCCACTCAACCTGATGGACATCGAAGCCAAGACCCGTCATGCACGCGGGCCGGCACGCGCAGTCAAATGGGACGCCGAGCGCGAGCTCGCGGATCGCCTCGTCGAACGCCTAGGAAAGGTCGACGTAGAGAACAGACGCACACAAATGACAGAACTTGCAGTACTAATGGAAGCGCAAGAAAACATGCGAGGCGAAGTCGGCCCCGCGCTTGGAGACAGGTCCGGGCTGGCAAGAGGGCACGCAAGCTTCGTGCAGCTCCCGCACCTCCTCGTTGAGGATATCCTTCAGCTCATTGCCCATGCGGTTGTCCAAATGTATCCCCTCGTACTCGTCGCAGTCCTGCTTGGTCCTCCGCCGGGGCGTAAGTGAGGGCGACCTCGGGGGGCGCGCGGGACTCGATCAAATCAAAGGCGAGGCTGGCGCCGAGGAGGGCATTATCGATCCTGGCGATGGCCCCGCGTCTGGAACGCCACGCGCGCACGGCGTCGTAGAACGCATTGGCGGCGAGCAAAGAACGCGCAACGAGGCGGCTCACCAAGCGGTTGCCGTTGTCCGTGAATGGTTCGGGCTCGCGGGGGCCAATCGCGTCGCCGCACTCCTGGACTCGCCCGTGGGCGTCGAGCCCTGCCAGGGCCATGCAAGGAGGGATCTGCGAGCGCAGGTCGAGCGCGACCGTGGTCAAGGAGTCCCAGAAATTATCCTTAACCCGGGCGGGGCTGGCCTAAGTGGGGGCGCGAGCACTAACCACCACGGGGCCGCGCTGTAATGTCGCGGGATGTCCTGCGACTGCCGTTAGCCGAGGATCTGCGCGCTACGCACTCTTAATTTGGAGAGCAAGGCTGTTCGCGACCCAAACTTGGCACCCGCGCTGGCAATCCGAGTCTGCGCAGCCCGCGAACACGCGGTAGGGGGCGCCGTCGCGGACAGTGCCCTCCGGGAAGCGGCCCGCCTGCAAACGCGCGACATCTAAGGGGGGGCGGTGGCAGTCGAGCTCGAGCAACCGAACCTTGCCCAACATGAGGGCGAAAGAACCACGCGTGGCCGCGAGAGCCTCTTCGCCTGGGTAGAGGGTGGCGACGTTGGCAGGAATCGGGTGGCCTGGCTGCTTGAGCCTGCCTCGGTGGCCCCCCGAGTCCCCCGTTTTCTGCCTTCCCACACTTTTCCTGATGGGAACGAACCCGTGGCCGAAGAGCGTGGGCTGCTGCGGGATAGGCTGCTTGGTGAAATGCCGCCGGCGCACCTCCTCGGCGTCGATGTCGAGCGGGGCGGGTGCGTCTGCAGCAGGGGGCTTCTTGCCCTCGAGGCGCCTCGGGGCGCGGGCTGCAGCAGCGAGCTCGATAGTCCGCTGGAAGCCCTGGATCAGTGCCGCGGCATGCGCGCCAGCAGCCTCCACGTGCAGAAGGTTCACGCAGGCGTCGGACTGCAGCGTCTGCACGAGGGTGTCGAACTGGCCTTGAAGCGATGTTTGGGTGCTCAGCGGGCCCGCGGGACAGACGTCCACCGCGCCACACGCGGCGATGGGCCGCTCGAGCTCCTCGACGTGGGAGGTGCACTCGGCGATCTCCTCGTCGGCGGCCTCCGCGACGGCCCGCGCAGGCTCGAGGGCCATAGGGGCCTTGGCCTGGGGGGGGGCCCTGAGCTCGAGCCAAGGCGCCCTCGGCCCAATCCAGGCGGGGCGCCCAGGGGCTTGGCTTCTCGGGCTGTCTCGTCTCGTCCTTCTCGACGTTGGCGAGGGGGGGGACTTTCGGCGGTAGACAAACCTGGACCGAAACCGACGGACCTGGACCCGCAAAAGTAACGGCCGCGACGCCCTCTCGCGAACCGAAAACGGCCAATTCCTTAATCGACGTGTCAGGGTAGGAAGTCTGTCCACCCCCGAGACTTGGGGGGCGTTCTCCAGGTGCTTCGAATTCTCCCTGGAGCCCTTCGCGTCGGCAGGCGAGGCCTGCGCCGCAGATGCTGCGGGCATCTGCTCCCGAGACGGCGGGGTAGCGCGCGTCAAGGCGCGTCAAGGCCGACGCTGCCTGCGCCAGCTGAAAACGAACAGGATGCGCTGGCGCTGGAGGTGCCGGGGGTGGGACGGATCCCCCCGCGCCATCCTTCGCAACGGAGGCGTAAGATCGCTTGAGGCCGCACACGTTGCAGGCGTGCTTGCTGCGGTTCACGGCGTTGCATCAGGTCGGGCATGTCCCCCTGCAGACGGATTTTGGACGGCAGATCAAAAATACACCAGAAGTACACAAACACAACAGAACATAGTCGAAACATAATCCTCCGACTATTTTCTGCTTATTTTTGAATACTCCTCCTGTAGAGGGACACGCCCGACTTACGCGTTGCACGAGGAGCAGGTCCAAGTACGTCCACCCCCTCAGACTTTGGCCGATTGCCGGTGCAATGCCTGGCGGTCGGGGGACTGAGCCCAGGAGCCCCACGACTGGCTACCGGGACGGTGCCACGAGGCAGCTGAGGGCGGCTGCCAGCCGCCACCACCGCCACCACCGCCACTG